ACTCCCTGACCCATGAGGGTGCCCGTGCCTCCTTACCCATAAGGGTGCCAGTGCCCCCCGACCCCGTGTGGGTGCCAATGCCCTCCATCCCATGAGGATTTCTGAGCCCACCCAACTGGGGGAGGAAGTCTACATGCCCCCCCACAGTGGCAGTCATGGCTACCCCCAGTCCTCACCCACCATAACCACAGCTGAGAGGTGGGCCTTCTTCAGTCTTCCCGGGCAGACAAAACTCCGGGAGACTTCTGATCCGTCTTTCAGAATCCCTATCAGTGTCCCCTAAGGAGTGTCAGCCAAGGTAGATACCTGCCACTCTGCCTGCCTCAGGACTGCATCTACACTGCTGCACCAGCTGCACACTGGGGGGCGCCCCTGGGACCTCAGTACCAGGCCCCTCCCTCTCCCTACTGCAGCTCCAGACTCCCTTTTGCCTGTTTCTGTCCTTGCTCCAGCTGGCTCTCTCCTCTCCCTTGCCAGCCAGCCTCAGAACTCAGTGTCACTGCCCAGGGCCTCCGTGGCTGAGCCCGGGGGTTCTCGGGACAGGATCCACACCCACTGGCAGACGTGGGTGCCCTCTGAGCTGTCAGAGAGGCCAGGGAGCTTGTGGTTGATGGTGTAGGGGCTGGGAACTTGGAGGGTGTTGTTGTGGGACAGCCAGAGGCCTTTGAATCTCCTCCTGGACATGCCACACCCACCCCAATCAGAGCTGCGCTGCTGGGGGCAGGGGGTATCCAGCCCTCTGGCCTGGGAGCTCCACCACAGGCCAGGAGTGACAGGCTGGGGGTCACCTCATCCCTTGGATGTGCAGTTGAGCAGTGGACAGGGGTGAAGCCTCCGGTTTCTTGATGACCTCAAAGCCTGAGAATCCTCTGCACCCATCAGCCCAGGCGAGGAAGGGACACACAGACTCCTACCTCTCTCCTGGGTGTTGTCACATCTGCTACTGGCTGAAGGCAGGGTCCTTGGCCCCAGATGAAGCCCCGTAGCCAGAGCAGGTCAGCTACTCTGAGGTCCATCCCGGCCGGGCCACAGAATTGGTCCAGGGCCCCACCTGCCACTCTTTGCTGGCCTCTGACTCTCCCTCTTCTGCTTTTCCCCAGCAGGAAGGGCCCAGCCTTGCCTACACGACCTGCAGCCCCCGACCAGCCGAGGCTCCCTCTTAGATTTATGAGTCTGTGGCCAATGGCATCTGGCTGCCTGCCTGCCCTGCCTCCTCAGGGTCCCCTCAGAGGACTCCTGGGCTTTTTGAGCACCCAGAGGGGCCTCCAGTGCCCCCTCCAGCCATCCACTTTAGCTCCGCCCTCCTGGTTCAAGCAGTGCTCTTCCTCCTGTCTTTCTCCATCAGGCCTGCTGGCTGTCCCATGGGCCTCCTGAGGCTAGTGCTGGCCCTGGCCAGTGGGTCCAAAGGCAGGGCCATCAGGATGGAGGGAAGCCCAAGAGGGCCATGCAGTGTCAGGACTGTGGCACTGCTGCCTGGGTGCTGTGTGAGAGGTGGTGAGTGGCAGGGGAGGCCCTCTCCAGCCTCCACCCCAACTCCCAGAAGCTCTGGTCACCCACACCAGCTCCTCCTCCCATATTCCTTCCCTTCCTGTCCATGGCCTTTTCCAGAAAGCTCACCCACATGCCCATCTGTTGCTTCTTCCCGCCCCTGCCCTGCCCACCAGTGCCGTGGCCTGGCTGCTCTTGCCTTACCACCTGTCTCCCTCCTCTCTCTCCCACTGCTAGCTGATTGGGTCAGGCAAGTCCATCCCGTTCTGAGAGCCCCAGGCCCCCCTTCAACCTCTAACCAGATCGCTCCTCTTCCTTGGAGACCTCCCTTTCCAAGCCTGCCTGGACACCTGTTCTGTGATTTGACAGGGGCCCCTCAGCCCCAAAGCCTCCCCTTCATCTATGACTTTCTGTTGTGTGGTGAGCTGACACCTCCAGGCATGAACTTGGTGAAAATTTGTGCCCCTCTGTGGTCCTGCTCCTGCCCTGTTCTGTAAATACCTATAAATACTCATACACATACACACACACACACACACACACACGGCAGTGCCCCTGGAGTCGCAGTGTAAGAAGACCAGCCTGGAAAATGCCTCTTTACCCCCCTAGATGTTCAGCACAGCACAGCAGGCTGCCCACTGCTGGCAGGCCCTGCTGCCCTGTGCAATGCCCACCCACAGCACAGCAGACCCTGGGCCCTGTGACGAAACTGCCACACATGGGCCAAGCAGTATGGCTATATCTGTTTATTTCAAGATAAAAACAGGAGCCACCTCACCAGAGTGCCACGACCCTGTCTCTGCCTCTTTCCTGGGCCATAGACTGTCAATAAATATGTTTCCCAGCCCCACATAATTATTAAGACCTCCTCCTCATTTGCGAGCTCCAGCCTCAGCTATGATACAGGGGGTGACCCTACCCCCAGAATATACTAAATGTTACACAAGTACAACATGTACATGGGGGGAGGGGGGGAGGGAGGCCCACTGGCAGCAGCTGTTTCCCCTCATCAGGCTTACAGTTAGCCCCAACTGTCACAGGGCCTGACAGAATGTTGCCTACTGCCCTGGCCCAAAGTGCCTCCAAAGAAAAGTGAGTCCCTCGAATGCCTGCCTAGCCTGCCTCGGCCCTGCCTGGCTGGTGTGCCTCTCTTAGTAAGGGGGCAGGTGCCCCTGCATCGCCTGCCCCAGCCGACTCTTTGAGGGCTGTTGATGGTGCCTCCCAGCTGGCCTGCCTGGGGGCACAGGCACGGAGTGAAGAGCTGGACTCCGCCTGGCCTACCGTGAGTGCCACCTGTGCTAAGGACCAGATCTCCAGTTAGCCTCAGCTTGCCCAGGCCACCTGCGATTCAGGACTGGGAGCCTTCCTGAATAAGGAACTGCCCTCACCCAGAGATGACCCTCGCCCGAGGAAGATCCTCACTCATAGATGCCCTCCTCTCCCAGAGATGCCCTGGCCTGTAAGTGACCCTTGCCCAAAGATGACCCTCGCCATAGGATACCCTCGTGTCCCAGATTGCCCCGCCCAGAGATGACACTCACCCTATTGTGCCCTCCTCGCCCATATACCCATATCCATGATGCCCTTGGCCCAGAAGTGACCCTTGCCCATGATGCCCCTGCCCAGGAAGTGACCCTTGCCCGGGTGCCCCCACCCAGCAGTGACCCTCACCCAGATGCCCTCCTCACCCTGATGCCCTTGCCTGAAATTTACCTTGCCCAAAGATGTCCATGGCCCAGAGTGACGTTTACCCATGATGCCACTGGCCCAGAAGTGACCTTTGCCCAGCGATGCCCCTGCCCAAAGATGACCCTCACCCAGATGCCCCCCTCACACAGGTACCCTTGCCTGAAAATGACCTCGTCCAAAATGCCCCTGGCCCAGAAGTGACCCTTACCCATGATGCAACTGGACTGGAAGTGATTTTGCCCAGCGATGCCCTTGACCAGGTGCCCCCGCCCATAGATGACCTTCACCCAGATGTCCTACTCGTCCAGATGCCCTTGCCTGAAATTGACCTCACCCAAAGATGCCCCTGGCCCAGAAGTGACCCCCTGCCCAGCGATGCCCCTGCCCAAAGATGATCTTCACCCAGATACCCTGCTCGCCCTGATGCCCTTGCCTGAATATGACCTTGCCAGAAGATGCACCTTGGCCCAGAAGTGACCCTTACCCATGAAGCCCTGGCCCAGAAGTGACCCTTGCCTAGCAATGCTCTTGCATGGAAGCCCCCACCCAGCAATGACCCTAACCCAGAGATGACCCTCACCTTATGATGCCCTCCTCCCCCAGATGCCCTTGCCTGAAAATGACCTCACTCAAAGATGCCCCTGGCACAGAAGTGACCCCTGCCCAGCGCTGCCCCTGCCCCAGAGTGACCCTTGCCCAGATGCCCTCATCCATGATGCCACCTGGCCCAAAGTGAACCTCTCCTAGACCGCCCTTGCCCATGATGCCCCTGGTCCAGAAGTGACCCCTGCCCAGCGATGCCCCTGCCCAAAGATGACTCTCACCCAGATGCTCTCCTCGCCCAGATGCTTTCACCTCAAAATGACCTCATGTGAAAATGCCCCTACCTCAGAGTGACCCTTGCCCAGCAATGCCCTGGCCCCAGAAGTGACCCTTGACTGGATGCCCCCACAAAGAAATGACCCTCACCCAGATGCCCTCCTCGCCCAGATGCCCCCACCCAGAAATGACCCTCACCCGAAGATTCCCCTGGCCTGGAAAGTGACCCTTGCCCAGTGATGACCCTCACCAAAAGATGCCTTTGGCCCAGAATGATCCTTTCCTAGATGTCCTCACCCAAAGATGTCCCTGCCCGGAAGTGACTCCCACCCAGAGATGACTCTCACTCAATGATACCCCTGGCCCAGAGTGACCCTTGCCCAGATGTCCCCACCTAGCGATGACCATTGCCTGAAGATGCCTTTTGTGCCCAGATGCCCTCGCCCACAGATTACCTTGGCCTGAAAGATGACTCCGGCCGGAAGATGACTCTTTCCTGAAGATGACCCCAGCCTGGAGATGGCCTCACCCACAGATGCCTGTGGCTTGGAGATGACCCTCGCCTGATGCTGCCCTGCACCGGAGATGTCCCTGCCAGGTCATGGCTCTTGCCTGCTCATGTCTGTGCCTGCTGATGCCCCAATGTGATGTTCCCGGCCAGATTATGCCCTTGGCAGGCCTACAGTTAGCCCCAAGAGGGGTGATGAAAACTGCCTGGCTGACTTGCCCAAGGAGATGAGCATCCTCTGGTCTTGGCTTTCTGGGGGCCACACAAATGCTGCCTGTGTTGGTCATGGCCTCTGAGGATGGAGATGGAAATAAGGAGGCCCCAGGAGCCCCTGGGGTCCTCCAGAGAGGCAGCCTAAAGAGGCCTTTCTCTCCCCATCAGGGGTTCTGGCTAAGGAGGGAAGGGAACTGGGAAGGAATGACAGGGGATAGGGTGGCTAGCAGGGGTGGAGTGGGAAGGATTGGGTTGGGGCTCCCTGGGCTGACGGCATCTGGTGTTAGACGATCATGATCTTAATGTCGTCATGTTCATCAGCCCAGTAGAAGAAGGGGATGCAGGGGTTGGTGCCCAAGCCTGGGCGCTCCTGGGAGTGCTGGATCTCCTGCAGTAGCTTCCTGACCTGCTGCACAGGAGGGTTCTGGGAGGATGAACCCTCCCCAGCCTCTCCTCGCACAGGCTCCATGGTGTCAGCGAGGCTCACCTTGCCAAGATCTTTGAAAGAGAGAGGACTCTGAGCGAGCTGCCAGTGTCTCTGCTCCTGCCAGCCCTCCCTGTCCCCAGGGCGCTCTCCTCACCAGCCTGCGGGTCAGCAGCATCCTGGAGGGCTGGGGACCCAGGAGGGGATGGTCAGCGCAGTCTGTGGCGGCAGCCAGGACTCTGCCCTGCCACTCGCTGCGCTCGCCCACAAGCTGCAGCACCAGTTCCTGCAGCTGCAGGAGTTTGATCTGGAAGGAGAGGTGCTCAGCGCCCCTGCCCTCGTCCTCACCCCCTGCCCCAAGAGGCAGCAGGGCCCAGGGCCCCTACCTTCATGTCCTCCTTGTCCTGGGCCAGCTGGCTGATGTACTCCTCCTTCTCCCGGTGCCGCTCCTTCAGCACTGCCCTCTGATGTTGGTAGAGGGCAATGTACTCTCCTGCAAAGAGACGGGACCGCGGGGTAGCGCTCAGAGGTGGGGCTCACCCAACCCCCATGCAGCTCCTCCCCCTGCAAGGGCCCTCGGCTCCTGGCTCACCGATGGTGTCCGTCTCTCCAGAGAGCTGGATGCAGCGATGTTCTAGCTCCTCTACCTGCTCTCACAGCTCCGATTTCTCCCCCATCACCTGCAGAAAGCGGTGCTGGAGCCGCAACGATGGGGTCAGGGCTTGGCGGTCACTGGCCCCACCCCCCACCCTTCCTGGCCCATGGCAGGAGAGAACCCCTCCCCTGCAGCTTCTCCATGGCCCCCTGGAGGGCCTGGTGGGTCTCCCCAGACACAGAGTCACCCCCAGTCCCAGCGGCTGATGTCTTCTCTGGCTCCCCCTGCGATGGCACGGCAAGGAGAGCCAGGTGCCGGCAGTGAGCCTTCTGCTCCCTCAGCTCCCTGCGGAGCCGGGTCCGCTCTTCCTCAGCTCGGGAAAGAGCCAACGTTAAAAAAATGTCACCTAAGAGCAAGAGGTGAATGAGTTTGTGCATGCAGGTGCACCTGCTGTTCCTAGGTGGAATGGTATCTGGCCACTGGCTCCCAGGTTAGGTGTGAGGTCAAGGGAAATCAAAGTGTGGGGGGGTGTGTGTGTGAAGATATAAGGAGGGATCACAGAGGGAGGCAGGGAAAGGTGGGATGGAGAGGGCACAGGGCACAGCCTGGCTTACCATGGCCTCTCGGCTCTCCAGGTCTTCCGGGACGGGCACTTTGGCCTGGGGAATTTCCTCCTCCCCATCTCCTCCTGAGGGACAGCCAGAGGGGACCCTGATGATCCAGTGAGTGAAGGAGAAAAGCTCAGGGCTCCCCTCAGTGCCCACCCTCCCTGGGAGACCCAGGGCAGCCACTGCCCAGAGGAGAGGGCTCAGCCGTCCTTAGAGTCTCTCTGAACTCAATGCTGTGCTGCCAAGACCCCCTCCTCCCTCCACAGGCTGTGTCCTCTCCCCATGGGAGCCTCACTCACCCTCTCCAGGGAGGGCCAAGAGCTTCAGCTGAGCTTGCAGCTGCTGATTTTGCTGGCTGGCAGCTTCCAGGCACTCCTAAGGGGCCAGGAAGAGTGAGAAGGCACAAAGGTGGCAAGGTCCTCCCACTCAGGGGCCCCACCCCACACTCACCAGCCCCTCACCTGGGTCTCCTGCAGCTCTTGGCGAGCCACCTGGACCGCCACCTTGCCCTACACCCCCTCATGCTGCAGCCAGTGCATGAGCTGCATCTGCAGTAGAATCTGCTTGTGCAGCCCTTCCTTCTCTGAGCTCAGCTGTTGGTAGGAGGCCACGTACTGGTGCAGGTGGACCAGGTACTTGTCGCGCTATTGGTGCAGACCCTGAGCCTCCTGGCTCTTCAGCTACATCTGCGGGAAGACCCAAGGTTGGTGGGGGGAACATGAGGGCAGATGGTGGCTTGCTAACCGATTCCATTGGTTGCAGGGGGTGGCACAGCCCGTGTCTCCTGCACCCAGCCTCACACCTCATCCCCTTCTTTCCCATCACTTTAACTTGAGGCCACATGCTACAGGGAAGGCATCATCTTTAGGGTCCACTTGTGCCTAATACTTTACATGCACAATCTCAGCTAATCCTCAACACCTGTATGGGGAAAAATGCTAAGTTCCTTTGTTAGGAATCTGAGGCTTAGCAAAGGGTAGCCCTTGTGTAGTGACCAGTGGAGCTGGGTGACACGCCTCTCCCTGGGACAATGATGTCCAGACCTGGGAGGAGCCTAGGGCTACCAGCTCTAAGAGTCGCAGGACAGTCGACATGGAGGTCACCTGTCACTCCAGACTGGAGTGGCCTCCCTCCTGGGCCTAGCACTGCCCTCCCC